CCGCCCCCCCATAGCAATGGCTTAATGTTCCCCAGTTTCATGAACGGATTCACCTCCCTGATTCTCCACACAACCACCTCCCCCCCCCCTCCACACACCTGAGCCATGTCGTAAACATTAAGGGTAAAAAACACACAAAGACCAGGGAGCTTCAGTCTGTACTGCCCGTTTCCTTCCTCTGCTGAGGCTGGTCAGCCCCAAAAACACAACGGCCATCCCATAATATGTAGCACAGCAGCATCTTTAATTTAAAATTAGTTACGGGACATGAACTTATAACCATTTGGTCATGAATGCACATATTTAACTTCAGTGTTAGGACCTCTCATGCAGCCACGGTTCTTTTTAGATATTATAGAGTCAGTATTCAGCTCTCCTAAATGTTATTCCTGGAGAACATTGATACCTCCTTCCTTCACCAATGCACTTGTGTTTATGTGTGTGTTTGTGGCCCATGGCAGGAGGAAATCGTTCGTGTTCTGCGGTCTCTACGCGGCTCTCGTCTTTGGGGGCCAGTACTTTATGAGGCAGAGACCCAAGCTGGACCTACGGAAGCCACTAGTGCTGTGGTCACTCAGCCTAGCCATCTTTAGGTGAGTGTGAACATCAGGGTCGCAAACATTGATCTCAGAAATCACATCCCTTTTGAACTTATCATTTCTGTAAGATTTGGGTTTTTTCAGAATGTTTTTTTTGAGAATGATTTGTCGCATCAAAACCTTGCCTGTCAATTAAGCAACGATAAGGTGAAACTGAACACTGAGTATTTGCTCTTCAATGAAATTTCCATTGCTAAGAGGTCAGCATGATCTGTGCAGGTTAGGTTACTCAAAGGTTACCTTGGAAACAGAAGCATGAGCTCTTGTCCAACTCGTTTTCCCTAACGGCAGTTGACATCAACACAACAGGGGACTGGCTGAGAGTTTGTTATGAAGCATGTGCATTTGTTGCATAAAACTGCACTTAAAACACCTATTTAAAAATGAAGTGTCATTATAAAGAGTAGGGGAGTCACACTCAGGGCAGAACAGCAGAGCATGGTGGCCATTACAGAAATGAGTCTTATTCTGTTTGTGGCTGACATCCTTAGAGGGACCTGCCGGCTCTTGCTGATTGGACTGTAAGTCTTGCCCGTGTAAGAGCACCTCTGGCTGTGTGAGCAAGACCCGAATGCGGGTCTGACATCAGCAGCACGGCGTGGCTCCAGCACAGACAACGTTGAAGTAAGGAAGCGTGCTCAGCGTTCCGAGAACTTAAAGTGGCATCAGCAGCGACCAAAGCGCGGCCTGGTGGGCGGATCAATGTTTCGCCTGCTCCTCTCCAAGTGTCTGGAACATTCCGGCACAGCTGCTAGGGCAACCCCGAGGCGTCAGTCACTTATCAACACTCGCGATGCGGATGTTGAGTGACGTATATAAATGTGACTTTACCAGTTAGGCAGTTGCCAAGCAACATTGTTAAGATGTCAGTCATGGCAGCAGAGACCCACGTGTCGTCGACACTGTTGAGATCTCAGTGGTGTCTGGGGCTCGTTGCCTTTTTGCCTGCAGGTTCCGGCTAGATTGCACGCAGCCGGATCCACTGAGGGCTGCAGATGTACATACATAAATACAGTGGTGATATGTCCAGTTTGGGCACTGCTATTGCCAGTGAGGTCAGCGGCGTGTCCTCCCCTAATCAGCTGCATTCTGCCAGATGGGCATGACAGTGCCTCTGCTGATGTAGCGAAACCCCCACGCACACCCAGGACCTGATGGGATGGTCACTGACCCTGGATCAGCCTCATGGGGAGAGTTCAGCTGGGATCCAGGTGCAGAACAGCCTGCGTGGCGGCAGCTCGAGCACACGCGCTGCACTGCGCGGCTGTCAGACTTGCAAAATGGCAGCGGCAGCAGAGCAAAGTTACGCTGCACCTCTGGGACGACGCCCGCATCATGACGGAGCGTGAGCACTCTCTGTTAATTTAGGAATTTCCCTAATCAGCAAATACATTTTCTGGTTCCTTTAGCACTGGAGGACAGCCTCCCGTGTTTGGAATAACTCGTCTTCTCACGCGGAATGCTTCAGATTTTTCCTTCAAGTATGCAGTGGGCTGCAGTGTATGCCCACGGCTGCCAATTGTTAGGGGCGTCGACCAGCTGCCAATTGTCCTGGAAAGTTGTTAAGCAAACTCCACGACAAGCGTACTGGGCCGAGGTGGTGGTGGGGGGGGCCAGGAATTCTCCAGTGACAGAGACAAAGGGTGGTATTTATTCAGCAGGTGAAGAATGAAGCTCTGGTATAAGCGCTCTGTCAGACCAGCTGGTGAGGCATGTAGGTACTGACACCTTTAAATCAAACTGAAAATAGGAGGGGGGCTGCATTTCGGCTTCTTTTTGTCGACACTTATATCTGTGTGTTAGATCCAGGATCTATGTAGCTGATAGGAACCCTCCCAGGACTTGAACCCACAATGTCTGGGTTATGAAGTCACGTCACGCCCCTTGCTGTTCCGAATGGATTCTGCCCATTCATACTGCTCTGCAAAGACGGCAGATCTTCCACCCTATAGGCTGAAAATGAATATCTGACTCAGCGCCAGTAACCTGTGAAACGCCTATTATTATAACGAGGTGCCATTAAGAAGGCGTTGACCCCCAGTATCCATGTAGATGCCGTTCCTCTGGAATGTTCCGTCCTCCTCAGGATTCCCAAAGGCATGTTAATTGCTTTCGACGGCCAAATCCACCCATATTGTTGCAGCTCTTCCTCTTTTATCTTGAACATCATCCATTATTATGGTCTGTTCTAAAGCATTGGATCTTCTGATCTGACCAAAGTAACACTCAGGCCTGTTATTCAGTCCGGAAATTCAGGCTTGGTTTGACCTAAAATCCGCTTGTTTGTTTGCCCCGCAGACCAAGGTGTCGTAAAACGTCTTTGTCCGGGCCAAAGATCAAAGGCACTGATACTATTCCTGTCCTGCTTCTTCACCGTCCAGCTTTTACTTCCATAATGAGCACCGTGAAAATCCCACATTTTGAACAAATGTGATCCTTGTTCTTAGAGTGTTAAACGCATAAACACAGGAACGTCACCCAGTGAAAAAACACACAGTGTTCATGTCTAGTTCCATTGCAGCTGAATATCCCTCAGAGCATTTCAGTCTTAATTTATTCAAAGTGAAGTTTATGCAGGCAGTCACCTTACGTCAAACCGACTTATGTAAATCCAGCCTTACACTATAAGGTTCTTTGAATGGTATGGAGGAGATAATTCCTACTTATGTAAGGGTTTGTGGAACAGATTGCTTAAGTCAGTCAAGAGCTGCCCGTTCTTAGGATTTCCTGACTAAATCTGAAGGGGGGGTTGAGACAGGGTGTCAAACCGATTGCAGAAAAATATGCAGAGCGTGTTGAGGTAGGGTCCTTCGGGGGGGCACTACAAACGCAGAGATGGCGTGTCTCACTCGGCACGCTGCCAGGTTGTTACGCGGAGGCTTGGAAACCAGACACCGGGAGGGGTGTGGTCAGGAACACGTGTAGTAAACTGCGGGCCGGCGGCAGGCAGCGGCGGCCGTGATGCTGCGTCTCGCATTTCGCGGCTTCCCCCGCCGCGGTGACAAGCGAGCAGGAACTCGCCATCAGAGAGTACATTTACACTCCGGCACTTAAGCTTTTACGCAGAGCGTGTTGCGGTTTTTCCACGTAGCTGGACGTGTTACAGGAGCGGAGTAGGTTATGGGGAGGCCTGCAGGACAGTGATCTTCATGACCTCCCAGCTCCCAGGACTCCCCTCAGAGCCGAGTAAATGCATCTCTGCATCCGGAGCGGTTGGCTGTCAGACAGGCTCACTGGCTTCCCGGGGTCCGTGTGCGGAGACAGACGTGCGGTCTCCAGCGTGGAATGGTGTGCGAGGTGAAAACGCCGTGTGGTTCCATGCAATCCAACCCGCATGAGCTTATGCAAAAAGATTCCGGCTCACTGATGCAATGATGGTGACGTGTCTGTGATTTTTTTCCCTGCTTTTCTGTGCTTTTACTTTTAGTGACCAAATGTAACAAATTTCAAGAAAAAAAGATGCAGAACTGTTTGTAAGCAACCAGTTGGTCCATCTGAACTGGGGTACACTGGAGAAAAGAAGAACCAATGTTATAACATGTTGTTATGTCGCATAGCGTTATGTTATGTAGCTTTATGTTATGTAGCGTTATGTTATGTAGCGTTATGTTTCGAAGTGACATGTTACGTCACATTAAACATCTTACATGTATTTACCATGGCGTTTCTGGTGCTTCAGATAGAGACTAGCAGCTTTTTAGAATGAACCCCAATCTCAGGCGGCAGGTAATCAGGTAATCAACCCTAACCCTAACCCTAACCCTAACCCTCCGGTCTCTTTCCACAGCATCATCGGGGCTGTGCGGACCGGCTGGTACTTGCTGCACGTCCTACACGCCAGCGGCTTCAAGCAGTCCGTCTGCGACCAGGGCTTCTACAGTGGGCCGGTCAGCAAGTTCTGGGCCTACGCCTTCGTCGTCAGCAAGGCTCCTGAGCTAGGTAGGCCTTCAGAAGAAAGGGGGCGGGAAGGTGCATGGGACTGGCAAAGGACTGTGGAGGGAAAAACTTAACCCCCATCTCTGCAAAGCAAATGCACCGGTCAATGTATCTCAAGATCAAAGCTGAATGACATTAAGGTTTTACTTAGCACGACTGCCAGATCCCCTACGATGCACTGACTTAATCAGTCAGGCGCTCCGCAGCGTGAGTGTCCTTGCTGTGTGTTGGTCAGGTCTGCAGAATAATCGGGTGATAACTACTGACAATAAAGAGCCGCTGGGGACAGGAGCAATGCTGAGCCAGCTAGAGTCACTCACGGAAGGATGGACGTCACGGTTAAGACTCCTCTCCTGCAGGAGAGGACAGGGAATAGGGCCAGCAGTCACAGAGCACACTGCAGCATCCACTGTGTACGTGAGTCCTTGTGAGTGCATTGCGGAACGGCACCCCACAACCAAGCTTTCTGTCTATCGCCCCCTGCAGGCGACACGGTGTTCATTGTCCTGCGGAAGCAGCGCCTCATCTTCCTGCACTGGTACCACCACATCACCGTCCTGCTCTACTCCTGGTACTCCTACAAGGACCAGGTTGCAGGTGGGGGCTGGTTCATGACCATGAACTACCTGGTGCACGCCCTCATGTACAGTTACTACGCCGTGCGGGCGGCCGGCGTGCACCTGCCTCGCCCCTGCGCCATGGTGATCACCGCCATCCAGATCACGCAGATGGCCATGGGGCTGGCCATTAGCGCTCTGGTCTACCGCTGGATGCAGGAAGGCCACTGCCCCTCCCACCTGGACAACATTGTGTGGGCCACCCTTATGTACCTCAGCTACTTACTCCTCTTCTCCTCCTTCTTTTACAAGTCCTACCTCAAGGGCAAGGGCAGTAAGGGGGGCAAAGAAGACTAAAATTGGGTTGGGTGTGGGGGGGGGGGGTGGATCAGGACCAGGGGGTTTAGGGGTGAAGGTTTAGAGCAGGGTTCCCCAATTCCTGTCCCAGAGGGCCAATCAGGCCCCAACA